TTATTCTAGAAATTCAGTTCAAATATTTTCCGCGAACTGTGCCTTACTATGTACCAATGCGATGGATTTTTTTCAAAATTCAGTATCCCAACTGTTTCCTATTCAAGATAAACTAATGTTTGTTTGTCTATGTTTTGGAAGTCTTATGTTACCATTGTTTGAGTCGCATTGCATGAATATAACTGAGAAATCAGTGATAATTTCCTGAACATTATTTCAATTTTTCTTCACCCAATTGAATTGAAGGAACGGAAAAATGTCTAAATTATCTGGATTCTTTCGCAAAACTTTAAATGGATAAGATTCACTTGTCAAACTTTTCCGTTTTATGAATTTGTAGACAGTATAACCCGATGTGGTACTACATTTTTCCTATAATTTAAAATCCTGTCCAGTTATAATCTCTCAGATCTGACGACCGTTCCAGTATGAAGTGTTTGACCCCAATAAATTTTTTCTATTATAATAAGTGTGAAGAATCCATGAAAACTTTGATTGCTAATTTCTACTATACTTTGCTTGAGTGAAAACTGCGAATAAGTAAAAAAAAATTCATTAAATGAACAAAGGCTTTCTTCAAGTTTTTTTTTTTTACTCCCTCAAGAGTTCTAAGGGTTTTGACTTTTATAATCGACAACCAAAGAACTTAATTCCGAGGTACTGAGTACAGTACACTTTTCTTCTTTTCGTCGAAGATGAAATACAGTACAGTAATCTGTTGCGTCTTAGAGATTCAATCAATCCCTACAACGTCCCCCAAAAAAAGTTTCTCCCGTCTTCACATCATCCCTTTCATCATGAATATCAACATTCCGATGTAGTTCCGGTTTCCAACTTTAAATTCGGACGTGTGCATATTTTAAATGTTTCGAAGGTACAAAACAGCGTGCAACACGCTATGCCGAGAATTCCCCACAACCCGGCAGTAGCAGCTGCAGTGAGCAACCGACAAATCCCGCAGTCTGGCCCGACCCCAACTTACCCTCGGATGGTACCACAGTCTGCTGCTCCAGTACCACCTGCTTCCTCTTCCTCTTCTTCCACATCCGGCACCGCCACAGTCGTGGTGCACAACGTGGACGTGGACACACCACCACCACTGTCGAGACACTTGGCTCAACAGCAGCAACACCAACAACACCAGCCTCAGCAACAACAACCGGACCCTGTGCGACAACTGAAACCCGCCTTGCACCCCCACTCTCACCCAGAGTCAACCTTGTTGTCAAAAAGTTTGGATTCTGGGCCGGGGTTGCGACAGGAGCTGAAAATGGCAGCTCAAGTTCAACAACAGCAGCAGCAGGTGCACGTCTTGCCTCACCATCACCAGCAATTCCAACTCTCTGCGAGGTAAAGTGGTATTTTTTTTCTTCAAACGATGAGTTTGTTTTGCTTGATGGTGATTGATGCGGGATTGAGTGAATGACGTGTGATGGAAGTGGTGATGGGGTTCATGATGTGGGTGTTGAAGTGAGTTGAGTGAGTGCGAGAAGCCGCGAGATCGGGAAATGATTGCTCGCCTCGGACTGAAGTTATTTCCGCAATTGAGGATCTATTTCCTGCATTGTGGAAGCGTTGATTGAAGCACTTCAGCCTTCTCTCATCGAGGGGTTTTTTTTTTACTCCCTCTGTCGAAATAAATTCTGCTGAATTCTCAAGTCAGTCAACGTTTTAATTTTAACGGTGCGCCTTGAAGTTTCCCGAGACTGATTTGTTTTACTCTCGGCGAATAAATCTTTTAAAAGATGGCAGAAAATAACGGAGATGCAATTTTGAACAAATATTTTTCAATCTGTTTGCGTCGTCAAGCTGATGGACGCAATAAGTTCAATGTCATGCTATAAAAGTACCTTTTCAATTTTTTACGTTTGCCACCATGCACAGACATTTTGAAGAAAACTTTGAGCGATGTCCGAGTTGAAAAGGTTTGGGTAAAGGTTGGCCTAGTTTCGCGAACCCACAAACGGTTCCCGAGTAGCCAAAAACAGTTCCCCTGTTCGAAGTGATATTTTGAAGTTCTCTGGGAAATTTTCTACCATTACTTTTCCAGACTGGAGAGAAAGAACCCGTTTTGCTGCCGAATGGTCATTTCCTTTTTAAGGAGGGTTTTTAAAAACAGTTTTTGCTTCGCTGCAAATGGAATGCTTGTTTACCACTTCTTTTCGAAAAGCGTGAGCTACTTTAAATCTGTTCGCGAATAGTATGACAGTCGTCAAAAAGTAAAATTTACTCGTCGGCCTTCGAGAATATTCGCAGTTGTAGATGTCTCAATGAAAAGTCTCGATTTTCGAAGGCGTAAATTTTTACTTTTTGACGAGTTGAATATGCTTTTTATAAAATAGACTTTCATCACAACTTCCGATCGCGAAAACTGGCCATTAGTTTTATCCGACGCGCTTTCTCGTATTTTTTTTATGAAGACATTCAAACGAGGTTCGATTCATATAAGGTTTTTGTTTAATTTTTTCTCCGTCAGTATTTAATGGATCATCGAAGGGAT